TTATTATATATATATATATATATATATATATATAGTTATATATATATATATATATATATATAGCTATGTAATATGTATACTTACATCGCGCCTCGTTAAGAACTAGTGATATGTATTCGTTTTGAACTATAGCGTTTAGTTTGATACGGCCCTAAAATAGTCGATTCGATCCGCGCTTCATCATCCATTAATTGTAATTTCAAGGATCGATTTTCAATTACAATTTCGAGATTCGATACCTGTATATACGCGTGTACGGGCAGTCTTGCTTCGTGGAGTAAGTGCTTCGCGAAACAAGCTCCACTCGAATCCCACCGAATTTCGAAAGGGATAATTTTAACACCAAGGAAAAAAGAAATGAATAACTAGTCGGATGATCGGGAAAAATATTTTCCCTTAATGTTAAACTTTCAACTGTATAAAAAGCGGGTCCTTCGCTTCTCACGGGGCTAACTTTGATTACACGCTCTCTCTTTCTCTCTCTTGCCTCTCTTGAACGAATCACGAGAGTGGCAAACATCAAGTTACTTTCCTCGCCACCATTGCTTATTTAACACAGGAATCTCTGCTCTTTCCCCGAGTTACGAATATCAACAGGCTTCAATCCAAGTCGCCGAGTAATCGAAACAACATTTTAACTTTTCGATCGCCCGTTGATGTTGATTCTCCGTCGTAACTCGAGCGAAAGAAAAAAAATAAACAAACAACTCGGACCTCGCGATATTTGAATCTAAAGTCGTAAAAATCGAACGAAGAGCGAATGAGACACGACGTTCGTCGCGATTATTGTGCGACGATAAGAGGGGAGAAAAGGATCGGATGGTGTAGAAAAAAAAAAAAAAAGGTTTGGAAAAGCGGAGCAGAGACTTTGGGTGAATTTTATTGGGCGGGAGCGGATTTGGGGGGAAGCGTGCGTGGACGGAGATGCAAATTTGGCCGGGTTGCCCTTTAGCGTTTTATCGAATCAACGTTCGGCCGATTAGGCGGACAACGATTTTTAACGGGTCATCGCACAATGGCCTTTTGTGCGCTGTCAAAGCCCAGTCTCTCGGGGAGGGGAGGGGGGACAGGGAGCAGGCATTCTCGCGAAAATGCGACCCGGACAAAAGTGGCATTGCCTCACGGCGCGCTCTTTCTCCACACGGCTTTTTCGATAAAATGGCCCATTGTTGCGTTTCCATCTTTCTTTTTCTCCTTACCTCTCTCTCTCACCCCCTCTCCCTCGCTATTTTCCTCTTGTTTTTTTCTCCTCCCCTCCCCCTCTTTTTTGGCTATCTTTCTCCTTCTCGTTTTAACTCGTTTCTCGCTCGCAACATCGATTCCCAGCCACTGCTCGCGAAATTTGGTTTTATCGCCTTTTATTTAGCGAGTAGATTTGTACGAGCTTTGGAAATTAAATTCCTTTTCAACTTTCCCTCCCCCCCCCTCCTTTTCTTCCTTCGTTTCTGGCGTGCCTCCCAATGATTATCCTCGGTGGATAATGATATGTATGTATATTTTGTTTGTCTTAGGAATTATTATTATTATTATTATTATTTTTTTTTTTTTTTTTGATTGTATGCGGCGCGAAGAAGCTTCGCCTTCTTTTTCCTTACGCGTATAAAAAAATAGTGCGCTGGCTAGCTTTAATTAATTAATAAAACGTTCGTTGAATAACTATATAAACTTTTCAAAGCTTTTGTAAAAATAGTATAAGTAGCATATATTTATATGTCTCGGTTAAATTAGCGTTTTTCTAGCGTTTTGTAACGTATAAAAAATTTGATTTCGACGAATTTTTCTCTCCTTTTCCACGGATAATACCCATAGTTTTCAAACATAGATATCTATCTTCTCATTCCATTCGTATTCCCCTCTTTCTCTTTTTTATTTCCATCCCAAATACTTTCGCGCGGCTTGTTCCCCCTGTTATATTAACTGCTCGATCTTTCTTCGTGCCGATTGTTTAAAACATCGAGAGACAAATTCGACTCGTTCGTATTTTTTTTACATATATAATTTTATTCGATTCGAATTCATTTTTGAATTTGGACGAAAAAATAACATCTGCTCTCGAGACTGGAATAAATGAAAACTCTTACTCTCGTTAAAGAAACAAAGAAAAGAAAAATTTAATCCGATCCTTCCTTTTTTCCAAGTGAAATTCAATGGTGGGACCGAGTGGCGGATAAAAATCGAGTCCAAGTCGCTGTTTCGCTTGCGTGTTTCTTTTCTCATCCTCCCTCTAAATATATATATATATATATGTGTATATATATAAACGAAACGAAAAGTATCGAGCCTCGAAATTATATACGATGATGATCTTTCTTTCGTTCGGTGCGCCACACACACTCACACACATACATCACATTCATCAGGCGCAATTCAGGCAATTTCTTGATATGTATCGTTTTTTTTTTTCAGCATCGCTTATTGCTCAACGTACCGCTACGTTTTTATTTTATTATATCTAGAGACTCCCCTCTCCTTTGCAACACGCCATTTTACAACCGTTACTGCTCACCATTGCAGAATATCAAATACTTTACTTCACGCGACAAGTGGCGACGTGGTCCGTCAGAAGAAGGAAACAATTTCGAGAATCGTCGATTATATTTAATTCGTTGGACGCGATATATTGTACTTGCTCGGGGAATCGACGATTCCTTTCCCTCTCTTTCTTCCTTCTTCTTTCGTTCTGAACCATTTTTTTTCTTTTTTTTAATCGTGACGCAATTTCGTCGAATAAAATTCTATCAAAAGTCGCGATAACAAGTAGCGAGAATTCGGAATTTTGGCGCAAGTGCGTAACTTTTTTTTTCTGGAACTTTTGAATTCCGTCGAATCGAGAAATACAATTTTCTTCTTTTTTTTTCTTTTAGTGATTGGAGGGGAATAGAAGGAGATATAGAGATTTTTACACTTGAATTTAGGGTGAGAATAATATTTAAAAAAAAGAATCGATATGCATCTTTCATATTCTTCAATTTAATTCAACAACGCGAAATTATAACTTCATCTTCTATCGAATTATATATATATATATATATGATTCTCACCCCGGCGTACATTCGTATATATAAACATTTCTCTTAATTGTTATATTGTGATTTTTGCCTCGGTTAAATGTATCCCGACAATAAAGCATTGGATTATCGATTCTCGGATTGTCAATAAAATTGTCCACGATATACAAAATAAATCGATCGCTCTCTCGAAAAGCATCGTATTATTTGATCGTCCTGCTTAAAAAAGATGCGACGGCGGTTTCTCTCTGGAATAAAGAAATCTTGTATACATGTTTATTATATCATATAATAAACGTTTCGAAACGTTTCTTTATTTCTTTTCTGCGAGTATTACTACTTCTTTGGAAAAATTCATTCGGATATGCGTGCGTGCTGCGTGTGTTGTGTATGCGTGTGTCAGTGTGTTACGTGCGTGTTTAAGTAACGTAATTTTTAAGAGAAGAAAAAAAAAAAACGAAGGTTTTGTTGCCAGTCGAATATAGGAATATTCCTTGCGTTTTCTAGTAAAATATTTGATATCTCGTCATTACTCCGCCTCGACGACACTCGGCCCCGTCAACGCCGTTCGTAGACAAAACGGAGGAGTTGTGTGTACACGATAAACAAGGTGTATGTACATACGTCGTTCATACCTTTTGATCACAGAAACATTATTCGAGGAGTCGATTACACTCCTGTCATCCATAGATACACTTCTGCGCAAATACTCTTCGAAATAATGGAAATAATTTCTAATTTATGCCCGTTCCTCTAATTTTATATCATACGTGTGTTTCTTCCTCAATGATCATTTTATATATATATATATGCACACGTGTGTGTGTGTCTTTCGATCGGGACAGTGTTTATTTAATTTATCTTATTCCGTGGAATTTTATCTAATTTCTTCGAGTTGTTTTTCGAATAAAATTGGAAAGGATCGTTTAACGAAGTTTCGTTGAACGTTTTTCTTTCTTTCTTTTTTTTTTTTTTCCGTTTAATTCGAAATTAAAATTTTACGCCGTCTTTCTGCCGATTAATAATTTCGTTGGTTAATTCCGGTTGATTCCGAAAGCGTGCAGAAAAGAGGGATTAATTTATTACCGGGGAAATCTTTATTCAATTTTCTCGTAATCTGTTTTAGGGGAACGGTAAATTAAAACGATCTTGACGAAAGACTTTAACTTGTAATCGGTTAAACGCATTTTCTTCCTTCCTCCTCCTCTTCTCCTTCTTTTTTTCGCAAGAAAATCTTTCTACCAAGGATTCCGCAAAGATTTCGAAACTCGAGCAACAATTATCGAAATAATTTGAAAATGATCCAACAATTAAATTCGACGGTTAAATTGAAAGAGAGAAAAAAAAGGAAAGGAGAGGAAAAGAAAAGAGGATCCTTCGAGAAATGTCTTATTCGACAAAGATGACGACACGTTGGATAAAATGGACGACGACTCGAGAACCATTTCGAAATAATCTACGATTAAGTTCAATTAAGGATTAAAATTCTTGCAAGTATTTAATTCGTATCTTTTTTTTTTCCATTTTCTTGAAATTGAAAAAGAGAAAACAGGAAAGGAGAGAAAATTCGAAAATTGCAAAATATAATATCCTTTCGGATATGTGTTATTATTAAAAGCTACGAGAAATTGACTAACATTTCAAAATAAATTCTATGATTAAATCCAATTAACGATTAAAATCCTTGCAAATATTGAACTATAAATTCACACGTTTCTAGCCTCTGTCAAAATTAAAAGGAGAGAAAAAAATAAAAAAGGAAGAAAATTCGAAGAAACTCACGTTGCAAAATATACATCCAGAAATGAATCTTATTATTAAAAGCTACGAGAATCGTTTCAACAATTCAAAATAATCTAATCAAACCCAACCATAAATTAAAATCATAAATTTACACGGTTCTAGTCTCTATCAAGATTGAAAAAGAAAAGAACACATTTTTCGAGAAATGTTTTATCTATTAAAAACCACACAAAAAAAAGCGACACATTGGACGGTTCAACAACGAGAGAACTTCAACATTTCAAAATAATCTAATTAAAATCCAACGAAGAAAACCACAAATTCCCATATCTCTAGCCTATATCAAGATTAAAAGAGAAAAAGAAAAGAGAAGAAAGGAAAATCCGAAGAAATTGCAAAATATACATCCTTTCAAAAATATATTATTATTAAAAGTTACGAGAACAAATTCGCACGTATCTCTGTCAAGATTAAAAGAGAGAAAGAAAAGAAGAGAAAATTCAAATTGCAAAATATATCGATCCTTTCAAAAATGTTTTATTATTAAAAGCCGTGCAAAGATACATTGGATAAGGGTGGACGACTCGACAACGAGAACCACTAACCGTTATGCAACTTCCAATAACATCAGCCCGAATTCATCACCATATTTCCGACCACCTCTCTCTTTCTCTCTCTCTCTCACTCCCTTTCCCTGTCCCTCCGTTTCCGCGCGAATCTCGCCGGTAGCATCGTCTTCTAAATAAATCAGCACCACTTTCACCGAACACGGCCAACGAGGAATGGAAGAGGAAGAGGAAGAGGAAGAGGAAGAAGAAGAAGGCTGAACGCGACTACCGAGCGAAGGAAGCAAAAAAAGAAAAAAAAGAGGAGGAAGAGGAAAAAGGAGAGGAGAAAGAAGGAGAGGAAGATAGCTGGCGGCTCGAAAGAAGGTTGGAGACACGCTTTCAAGCCGGAGGCTGAAGGGGAAGGGGAGGTTGGCTCGGGCTGGCGGCATTATCGCGGTTCAGCCGCGTCGCGCGACCCGATAAAAGGGATCCAGCGTTGAAACACACTTCCCCGACAGAGGAGATCGGGAGGAAGGATTTGCAGGCTCGATCGAGGGGGAGGGAGAGGAGAGATTGATTTAATTTCGTAAGTGCCTTCACTCCTCGAGAAAGAAACCCCCCCCCTCCCCCCTTGAATTTGTCGAAACGAAACGAAAAGAAAAGAAAACGAGAGAGAAAGAGTCCGTCTCCGATTTCAGCTTTCCCTTCCTCTCTTCCATGTTGCGCGTGCAACACAAACAGCAACACAACGTTCGAAGCGCGAGATTTCCACGCGAATAATCGAATCGAATTGAATCCGATCCGATCCGCTCTTTTCCCGTAATTTCGAATCTCGGTTAATTCGCCGATTCTTTTTCTTCCTCGAAAAGCCGTCGCAACGAGTTTCGAGGGGAGAGAGAGAGAGAGAGAGAGAGAGAGAGAGAGAGAGAGAGAGAGAGAGAGTAGTG